TCCCTACACAGAATAAGCTTTCCTGGCATATGCTGGTATATCTTCATCTGCATGAGGGTTTTTGCTAGCAGAGCTGTGTTGGGTAGGAATGTGATTTTTCACATTCCTAACCAGCATAGCTGTGCTGGCAGAACTTTATGTAGACCAAACCAAAGCCTCATAAGAGCCGTCTCATAAGGCTATTATCTTCAGTTTACAAAGGGAAGAATTTAGGGCCCAGTGAGGTTAAATGCCTTGCAGAAGGTTACATTGCAAACCAGTGTCAGCACTGGAATCCTATCTTCCACTTGCATGTTCAAAGTTCACATTTATTTATTAGATTTATGTGCTGCCCTTCCCAGCAAAGGCTCCCAGCAGCTTGCAGCAAGAGGCAGAGTAACATAAAAAAAGTAAAATATTAAAACAAAATATGAAACAAAAACTCCCCAAACAACATTCCAGCTTAGGCTTCTTACTAAGTACATCCCCAAATAAGAACTTACAGTTCTTCTGGAAGATGTCTAGGCTTGGGCTCTGGCAGGCCTTAAGCAAGGGGAATAACTTCCCACATTTTTGTAAAGTGAACTTGGTGTCTTGGTGGTACTAGCAGGAGGTTGCTCTCAGCCCTAGAGACTAGAAGTGAAATCCTTGTCCTATTGAAGTCAGTAGTGACTTTCTTATATTGCTAGGATCATCTTGAGTCTTTTTTCGTACTATTGTTGGTTGCTTGGCTACGCTGTTATTTTAAAAATGGCAATTTCTTACTTTTTTACATACTAGAAGAAAAAAAGCAGAAAGCAGTTTCCCAAAGTGAAAAATGGGAGAGCTTGATGTTCCATCGATTTGCATCACAAGATGTTTTAAGAAGGTGTGGTAAAGTGAACCAAAAAAATTTGGGAGCTGCAAGCATAGTTTGAATTGAAATATGCCTGGATATACACTTAGCCCTTTATGCAAACTTATGCCTCTTGGTATTTATTATATTTTGAAAAAAGCCAAGATGCATGCTTTTCAAAACTAACTACTGAGCATGCACAATAACTATTCTTCATATGCCTTTCAGCGCTCCAGCATGCTACAGCATAGTATTACTGCATAGTATTGTTACTTAAGATTTATAAATCTTCAGTTCTCAGGGTGTAATGTCTTGGCTGTTTCAAATCACATCTGGCTGCCAGCCAAAATCAGAATTTCTTCAGAAAACAAGAGCTGGAAAGAGCCAACTTGTCTACGCTGATTTTTATTTATTAAAAGGTTCCAGATAGAGATTGCCTTTTTCTGTTCAAGATTTGACTTTCACCAGCCTTGAGAAGGGAACTGTGAGCGCTTTGATAAATGGCTGAAAAGTTTGGTTCTATTACAGTCTCTGTGCATACCTTAATATCCTCTTTTTGGAATAAAAGCTGTTTTGCAGTGCACTGTAAATCACTGGATGTTGCTAGTATGTTGTAGGGACAGCTTTCCTTCATTTTCCACTAATGGAAGCATATCAGTCTGGGAAACATACTGGCATGGACATGCCGGATTACAAGTCTCCCTTTCAAAATTTACCAGGCAATATAAGCTGTACTTGCTACTTAGGGCCATTTGTGTTGGGGGAATCTAACCGGTCTGTCTTCTTGCCAGTGTGGACAAGGCCTTAGGGCTGGCTTAATCTGTACTGCTGACGCTACTAAGTTGAAGGACGTGGTTATGATGTGGATGTTCCTTGATGTGCTTAAATCACAGTACTATCATGCAGCATAGATAGATTCTTAGTTAAGCTCCTGAAGCATGCTAAAATCTTGATCAGATTGAATCCCCTTTATCTCATGAACACATTAGATGGGCTTTTCCCCAATCTATTGTTTTTACATTTTTTACTTTATTCCAGCTAGTGTGAGAATTGTCATTTACCATGCTGAACTCTTACATGATACCCTCCAGTGGCTGTTGCTTTAACTGAGCCACAGTATCTTTGGCATCACAGCAGGGCATGTTAAATACAGTTGTTACAATATAAATTAACCTGCCCTAAACACAGACTGCTACCTAGGTGCTAACCAGAATAAATGTGTTTTACATAGTTTCCTGAAGCTGGCACTCTAACAGAATCACTCCCTGCCCCTGTCCTTGATTTAACCTGCTTAGCCAATACAAGCACCCCTCAGCTGTTACATTGGTTTGTTGTAAGAGATGGGTTTTGGCAACCTCCTGATCATTCATGTCTTATAAATAGTTGCCAGTCTTTTAATTTGTTCTCAGAAACAATCATAAGTGCAGTGCCAACTACATATGCTTGTGGGAGGTGGTGTATGTGTGTGCATAGAATCTCACTTGGCTTGGGAGATGTAGGAAGAAACACTGTGCACCAGCTGAAGCTTTGGGGTGGTCTTCAGTTGTAGCAGTAAGCAAGTACATCACAGCTGCTGCAGAAAAAAGCTGGAATGCACGTTTGACCATTTGTTTTCTTTCTTTAGGATCAGGGACAAACTTTTCAGTTCCCCAACCTATTTCCAGAGAGAGAACAAACAACAGAACACATCCAGAACAAATATCTTGAGGAAGAAAGACAGAAGTACCAAGTCGATCCCAGGCGAGGAGGAGTTCCGGATTGGTTTAGACTTTGATGGAATGAGCCAGCTGCCTTTCTTTAGGCCTCTCCAGGGGATTTTAATCCGCAGAACCTGCTGCTTCCTCTCTTCATAAAGACATGGGCTTTATTTCTGAGCAGCTTTTGGTAGCATTTTGTTATTCTCAGTTTTCTATGTAAGACTACAACAAAATGCCCCCAAAGAAATAAAAAGGTAAAATAAATCCTACAGCATTTTGGGTCTTTCATATGAAGCATTGAGATCTTTTAAGCACAGAATTTGCTATCTGTTCACATTTGCTGCAAGATTGTCTTTTTCCCTTGACTCACTTCCTCGTATTGCAGGTTATTTGCATAATGTGAGTACCACACTCCAGTGCAAGTATAGCATGAGTTATATAGTGTGTATATATAAAGGGTAAGCAGGTGGATATGATCATGAAGGGGCAATGTAAGGAAGATAAGAGTTTGTAGTCAACTAATGCATAGTTGAATGCTGTATTTCAGAGCACTAATTGTCAGGTGGACTAACGCTCCGATTAAATAGTACTTACTTTAGTACTTTCAAATTGACCAGTTTTGAGGATGTTGCTGTGATTTAATTTAACTTTTTCACTGTGTAACATGTTCTTACTTGATTGGAGCATTTCATTTTCAAGGAAAAGACTACATATTCATACACACACTTATTTAGACCACAAAGACTTGAAACAATGCATAAAAAGTAACTTTCACTTCAGTTGCTGTTATGTGACATGGGTAATTGCCTCTGAAGACAGATCTGCATCAGAAACTTATGCTTTTATGGCAGTGTCATGTAGAATGTGACTACATTGTGATGCTTGCAAAACTCGTAGCATGGACACAGTTGGGCTGACAGTACTGGCGAAAGCACTTTTTGTAACCTACCTTGCAGACATTACTGGCTTAAGCTGTACTGCAAATGCTTTGTTTCTTGGTGTAATGGCAGGTACACTGAGGTTTATCAGTATAGGTCTACTAGCAACCCTTCTAGTGTGGAGATGCCTTACAGGCTGCTACGTTCAGGATTGTCTTGTCCTCCTGGCTTTTCTTCCTTGCTGTGGAAGGGACACATCCTTTCCTTCTCCTCTCCACCAAATGAGGTACTTGGCTTGTGTGTCCAAAGCGTGGAATAGGGGATTCTGTAGATAGAGAAAAGCAACTGAAATACCCTGCCATTTGGAAAGGGAGCTATGCCATCCTTACTGTGCTGTTTCCTCTTGATGGGCTGCTAGACATGCAAATCTATTCCTCTGCCGCTCAATTTTCCCTTGCTTCTTAGTTCTCCCACATGGAGCACTTGGCAAGGCAGTGAATGAGCCCTCCCCTTCAACGCTCTTCTCCCACTGACCAGACACTCTCCTTTACTGTTCTCTCTCCAAACTTGCTGTTTGGACAGCTAGCAAGATGTTTACAAGGAGACAGCTGTTCCCCAGAGAGGCAGTCCAAATAGGATTTTATGCACCCCTCTCATGCTCATTAGTTGTTTCGTTCCTGCTTCTTTATAGTCCATCTCCTTCTGTGGTTTGCCGTGTACAGATCCAGTGAGTCTCCCACCCCCTCCTTGTACAACTTCCAAGAGAGCTTTTGAGTGCATCATGGTCTGCATAAGTCAGCCAGTACTTAAACAGATGCTTTGAGAGAGGGTTAGAAAGTAATAGGGAGGTAAGGGAGGTTATTACTACTGCAAAGCTACTATAAAAGTTGCAGAAGTATATGTAGGACTGAGTCCATCTAAAATAGCTTTTTAATGCTTGGCTTGTGCTGTAAATATGTCACTTCTAAAGATCGCTAGTGACACCTGACACCTTACAATCCAGCAGAAGTTGACCCACTGTTATAGAGCAGAATGGTTAAATTTGCAGACCTGTTGGTAAAAGGGACTATGCTCCAGCAATCATACTCCTCCCTTAGACTATATGTTGGTTGCATAAGGGGGTGTCAGCCTATTTGCACAGCTTGCAGAACAGTATGGACCTGATCCTCATTAAGACCTCAAATTGCTACTGCAGCATAAATGCTAAATACATTTTAAACCGGCTAGTCTACAAAGCAGGCTACCTTCACTATGTGACGTCTTGTGGAGTATAATAATCTCTTACACTGCCAGCTGGCATTGAGGAAATTGGTTAGTTCTTTATTGCATGCATCCTTATCCCTGGTTGGCCAGCTCTGGGCTCACAGTGCAGCAACTCTTCGCACTGAAGAGTTTAGTATTGTGCTCTGCAGCATATATAACTGCTTTGGTTAAGACTAAGTAGGCTGTAACCTATGACAGCTCATGCCTTTTGAATCAGTTGGTTACTAAGATGCCACCCCTGGCCTACCTTTTCTTGTGCTTGAATGGGGTTTGTATTCTGTATGTTGAACTAGCTAGAATAGAAATGTCTGGCATAGCCGTGGGACTCAGGAGCATGGGGCATAGAGCTATGTTAGTTATATTAATCCTTGGCAGTCCTTGGACTTTACTGCATGCAAGGAATAGCCAACTTTCTGTGCTACTAGTGGCACAGAGCAGAAGGATGGGGACTGGGGATCAAAATCTGACCCTAGTAATTCAGAGAATTTCCCTTGCTAGCTGCCTTTCAACTCTATTCTATTGAAGTTAAAGTAAAGGTGGTAAAATAATGAGTGACTATATTAAAAACAATGTCTAAATCTACTTTTACATCGTAGTATTCACTGGATCAGAAAGATTTTTGCATTGAACAGTTTTTAGAAAATGCCCATTGTTAATTGAGGGGTGTAGGTTGTAGCTGTGTTGGTTTAAGGACATAAGCAGACAAAGTTCCTTGCGTGAATCTGATATCTTCTATTAGACCAACCCAAATAGTTGGAAAATAATTATTAAGCAAGCTTTCGGGTTCAAAAACCCTTCATCAGGTTAAGGAAGTTTCAGCAGTTGGTATGTGCTCTTCCTGGATGGAATGAAAAGTAAAGAAGCCAGCAGCTGGGCTGGTATGCATAAAAGACAGGTAGTCAGTGAAAATGTAGATTGAGGAGTCAATGGGTGAGAGACAGGCGGAGGGAAGAGAGAAAATGGGGATGAAAGTGGAGAGATACCTGGGGAGTCAGATGTCAGGCAGGTTATAATGTGGCATAAATCCAATGTCTATATTTAGTCCATGATTTTTACTATCCAGGAGGTTGATGAAGTGGAGTTCATAGGCTCATCTCTGGGACGTATTGTGTAAGTTTCCTTTGAGGATCAGGACTGAGAGATTGGAGAGAGAGTGGTTTTCTTGTGAGAAATGTGACAGAATTGGGTATTTCTGTCTTTGATAGATTTCCAGTGTGCCTTCATTCTGGTGCGCAGTTGTTGTTTGGTCTCTCCTACATATTTTCCATCAGGGCATTTGGTGCACTGGATGAGGTATATTACATTTCTGGAGGTGCAGCTGTAAGATCCTGGGATGCTGATGGCTCTGTTGTGGGGTGTAGTAATAGTGGGGGTGGTGGAGATGTGTTGGCAGGTTTTGCATTTCTTGTC